CTGGTCTTTCATTTAAATCCACATGTCTTGTGATTTCCTTATAAACACCCCTCTTAACATCGGATTCCATTTTCCAAATCTTGTTGTATGTCGATCCAGCATTTCATATGGATGGAGCACAAAGTGGTGTCTGCAAACCTGCATTCTAACCTCAGGGTTCCAGGTCTCAGCCTGCTTTTTTGTTTATCCTTCCAAGAAAGACTTATTGAGCACAGTTTATATACCACTTGCTGTTCTGGATACAGCAGGCAAAGTAAAAGACAAAACTCCCTTTCCTTGTGGAACTAATATGCTAGAGATCTTTAATCTTATGAGGCAGTAAAACAGCTGATGGATAACCGCCATGGTGCCAGGAGGCTGCTGAAGTGACTGGGGGAAGGATGTGGTAATGAATCCGGGAGGCTGTGGCATGGTTTCAATCTCTCAACAACATTTGGATAGATGGCATGGTTTATGGCTTAAGAGGATGAGACTGAGACACTGAAAATTACTCTGGGCCTCAGCTGCCTGACATATAAAGTAGGTAGGTCAGTGATATGACAACTGGACAGCGTGGTCTCTGATTTTGCAGAGTCCTCAGACTGTGAGGATTTGGACATACCCGGGACTAACGCCGTGGGTGGCCCAGGCCCTGGGGCTGGAATTATGGACAAAGGGAGGCATGAAAAGGCAGAGAGGCCTGATGGGACCTGGCATGCTCCCTAACTGGGGGGACCTGGCACAGGGGAGAACAGAGTGGGTGGGGAAGGGTGGTGACTGGTCAAGCCACACAGCACGTCACAGCAAAGACAGGGTTGGAGCCCAGGGTCTTCTGACTCAAAGCCTAACCCTTTTCACTGCATCCCACAACCTTGAATGTGGGGCTGGGAGTCGGGGGAAAGACTCAGAGGAGCAGGAAAGCACATGCCAGATTCATGTGTTTAAAACCGGTGCCACAGTATGGACAGTGTGGGACTGTTGCATGATGGAGAAGAAAGGCGAAGAAGGGCCCTGATGAAGGGGGTGAAGAACAGATGTCATTTCAGAATATAGTTGGGGATCAAGTTGGCAGCACTTGATACCACTGGTTGAATATGGAAGAATCTGAGGAAAGAGGGGAGGCTGTCTCCAGCTTGAGCACCTGGAGGACAACCTGGAGGTTCCTAGACCTCCCAGGAGACAACATTCTGTGCCTTTTCCCACTTCCTTGGCTAGTTCCACATCTTCCCTGCCTGACATGCCTCTCCTGTGCCTCCTTATCCTTGGAGACCCAGCTCCAACCGCTGTCAGTCAGAAGGCTGAATCCCTTCAACATAGACCCTTCCAGCCTGTCTCTCTAGTCTCCTTTTCCGCCTTCACACTGCTTCTGCAGGTGTCATGCATCACACATTCAGCAGTGCTGAGCTCAACACCCGGATTTTACCATTTTGAGGACAGGGACAAAGGACCTGCAGGAGACATAATGCACACATGAAAAGTGGACGAGATCAAGGGTAGCTGAGAGTGGGTTTCTTCCTAACTGGAGTCCAGTGTGGAGGGTCTGGGGCTGCAGCCAGGCTGAGCTGCGGAGTGTTGTGATCAATTAGCGATGCCTGCGATGAACACAGGAGGGATGTGGCAGCATGCATGTGATCTGTGTGCAGTCTCTGGACGACAAGATCTGTGTCATTTGGACAGTCTACAGCTGTTCTCAGGAAAAATCAAAGATGATGCCCAAGTGTCTAGTATGGCTGAGGGTAGAAACAGGTTAGAGGGGCTTTTAGCAGAGGTGGGACCAGCAACAGATACAGGCTGTCCTCAGTGTTGTATTTTCAATTTTTAGACCCGCCTCCACTTGTGTGCATTACATAATGATGCCCCTAAACCACCTTTTGTACCATGACTCAAGGCTCTCAGGCCTCAACTTACAAAGGAATTTTTCTAGCTAACGCCTGCCAGCCAGTGGTTCCATTTTGGCAGCCAACTCATTGTCTGCACTGTGGTCTTCGGGCAATTAATCTGCATATTTTATTTCCCTCATGGTTTTATAAAAGGAGTATAAAAATTAAGGCCTGATATCAAGTGTAATGGAGAAGCCGAGCATCCATTTAGAACTTTAAACAATAGAACTGCTTCAAAATCAGCAGCAGTGATTTAATAGATCATGCCTCTGCTATATATATTGTCAGGGCCTGGAGAGGACCCATTTGGTCAGGTTATAAGTGAACCTTTCATGATGCCCCAGAAGCCCAGTCCACTCAAAACTGACAGGTCAGATAATAACCAACTAGTTTAGTCACATCAAGGTGGTCCCACAGAAGGAAGACAAATTTCTATGATTTTCAGTTGTTCTTACGTTCTGCATCGTAAAGTTCTTTTCCTTAAATTTATTCGCATTGGGAGTTAAGATAGCTAGCCTCCAGAGATATCATTAATCAGGACCTGGGTGGTCTGGATAATTAATCTTTTGCCATACAACAGACATGAAAGTGGAAATTATTCAGTGAAAGCAGTAGATCTTTAGCTGACTTTTCATAGATGTAAGCTGGTTAACTTGGGAGGGGGTGTCATTTTGAAGGAAGAGAGTTAAGGATTTACACGAAATGCTGAAGATTTATGATAGACAGTGCCTACGAAGCTAAGGGAAGTGGAGATTTTATAGCATGTTAGATTTCTGGGCAGAAGCCATCAACCCTCTTGACTGCTGGCCTCTAATTTTTATTATTATTATCATTAACTGTTGGTCTCTTAGTATTATATATTTGACTTACATTCACCTTTTCTCGATTACACTGTATATGACAGCAAGATATTGTTTGTACTGATTACATGACGGGTCAACTGATCTGATGGTTGATACGGAAACGGTTGCTGAAATTGGTGGGATGAGTTCTGAGTGGGCTAAGGATGGTGCCGTATTGTAGGTTAGGGATGGTGTCTGCATGACGTAATCTAGCCTACAGCCTCTATCAGCAGGACCCACTGATACTACCCCCTGCTGGCTCAAGTCCTCTTTGAGGACTTGTTTTAAGTCACTGTTTTGTCACTGAGCAACCAAATGACTTATGTTTGTATTAATATAAAGTATAGTATTCTGCCCAGTCAGGTGGCTCAGCTGGTTGAAGTGTCATCCTGTACACCCAAAAGGTGGTGGGTTTGATCCCTGGTCAAGGTGCATAAGGGGGGCAACTGATCTATGTTTCTCACACAATGTTTCTCTCTCTCTATTCCCCCCTCCTCTCTCTCTAAAATTAATAAAATTATCCTCAGGTGAGGATTTAAAAAAATCTAACGTATAGTATCCTGTTTTAGTGTGTTGTTTAAGTGCAAAGTAGAAGTGGGTTGCTTCATAGTCTTTCTGTTCTTTCAATCCCTCCGATATTATGTGCAATACTGTATTTAATGTTTCTGTTTCAGTTTTTCTAGGATGCTAATTTATATAAAAATAAAATGAATGATAAAAAATCCAAGAGGAAATGCTATATAAATGTAGCCATTTCTGCGCCTGGGATGTAATAGAATTTTATTCTCTTCCTCCTTCTGTCCCCAGTTCTCATGTCCTAACTCATTCTCATGCTTTATAGGCCAATACCCGGATCACCTCCTTGGGGATGCCCTCCCTGAATGCCCCTGTGGGTAGCTACTCATTCTCCGTGCTCCACCATCCTTTGCAGTCCCCCTGGTTACATAATGCATTATCTGCCTACCTGAATCTCTGTCTTTCTACCACTGGGGAAGCCTCTTGAAGCAGAAAGTTCCACCCTGTGACTCGTTCTTATTTGTACATTCCAGAGCCTAGCTTAGTCTTTGGTACCTAGGAGTATTATTGGTGTGCAGGTGAGTAGGTGGACGAGTGAGTGAGAGAATGAATGAATGAATGAATGAATGACATGACATGAAGGGCTGAAGCATTGGTAAAAGAAAGCCTCACTTGGAAAGGGGTGAGCGGCTACACTAGCACTGGAGGAATTAAGATCATAGGTCTTAAAGCACAAGTCTTTTATCAGGGGAGTCAGAGCCTCTGCACATCCAAAAGCTTGTACACATATCTGTGTCTGTGCACATTTGAGGGGAGGAGGGAGAGGGCCCATAGTTGTCATCAGAGTCTCAGACGTGTCTGTGGCAGCCAAATATTGACAAATTGCTGATCGTAACAAATAAAATAGGTAGGTTTCACTGAGAAGAAGGAACCAAGTAAATGGAGGAGAGAATGTGACCAAAGAGAAAAAAAATCAGAACTGGAGGGAACACTGAGTCCTGCGGGGACCTCAGGTAGGGGCATGGCCCCCAGGACAGGAACTCCCATAGCCTGTGAAGGTATTGACCTGCCCTAAGCACCTCTTTGTGCGGAAGCTCAGGGAAGATTTTTTCTTTCACTGTCTTGATTCTTACACGGAATCCATGGGCTGAGGGAGCCTCTCAGGTTCATTGGCTTCAGTTACCTGCCTCCAAGCAGACCAAACTGAAATGATTCCGAAAACACTGGGTCTTTCCTGCCCGAAACAGCTCCCCTCTCCCCCTTCTCTTTCCTACCCTATCCCATCCTATCCTTAGCTATTAAAACTTGAATTTCATTAGGAACAGTGTTTTTTTAAAAAATGTGGATCTTGGCCCCTTGGGTGAATGATGATGTGAATGTTGAGGGACATGACCAGCTTTAAAAAAAAAAAAAAAAAAAAGGAATAGAGTAGAAAATACGGACATACGTGTGAATGTATCACATACAAGAGTGAGTATAGTTTTGTGAAACTTCCTGTTTCAGCTCAGTGTTACAGGGTTGTGATATGTATATTTCTTTCTGTGGGTTGTGGTCAAAAATGTTTGAAAAGCAGTGATATCCAGCATTACTCAACAGATACTCACTGAAAGACCCAGCCCTTGAGGGGACTGTGGTGGGAGAGGAGGGGGGAGACGAGGCTGTGTTAGGGTTCACTTCTTATTGCTGCCAGGGAAGCCCTTTGCTCTCGTGAGATGTTAGGGGCCTGCCGCAGTCCGCACCACTGTCACCCCTTCTTGATTCTTGTCTCTCCTTTCTTGGGCAGGTTGTATATGTCACCGCAACATTCCCCTACATTATGCTTCTGATCCTCCTGATCCGAGGGGTCACGTTGCCCGGGGCTTCCGAAGGCATCAAGTTCTACCTGTACCCTGACCTCTCCCGGCTCTCTGACCCACAGGTAAGTGTCCTTTGCTAGATGCACAGCTGCCCACCACCCCTGAGAAGCTTTCTGCAGGCCCCTGATGCCGGCCACAGAGGTTCAACAGCTGGTGGGAAGCCTGTAGATCTCTTCTCAAAATTAATACATTTCAATGCCTAGATTAAATATATGGGAAATCAAATATAGTGAAATACAACCACCAGAGCATTAAAAAAAAAAGGCAAATTTGTGACATGGTAATGATATATGTGCTTGTCTATCAGTACGTTAAATAGCATGATCCAGCAAGAGGCCCGATAATTTTCGTGATTTCAAAGCAACAATGAGAACAAACGATATTTGGAGGTGTCTATGCTGTCATAGGAAAACATCTGGGGTTTCTACCACTAGCAGTGCTGTGGTTTGTTGCCTGCAGTCACAATGGAAGGAAATGTTAAATTTCAGTTAGAGGTTACCGAAAATAAAAACATACTTTTCCCACCATCCAAGATCACTGATCTCAATAGCCGTGCATCTCAATGAGGGAAAGTAGGTCTTAGTTGGTGATTGATTTTTTTGGGGTGGGTAGCTCACAGGAAGAAATAATAGGTTAGAACTGGCTGGCCTCTTCGTTGTCTTTGGTAAGGAACTGGCTATTCTGAAAAGTGGGTAGTAAATGCCTATGCCTAAGCTTCTGTAAGTGGGTACGTGCTGCTGTGCCTGGGGTATGTTAAATAAGAGATGAAAACAGAGCATCTTATAGCCCAGGGGGTTCTCAACCTCTGCTACTTGATAGAAGCTCCTGGGAAGCTTTTGAAAATCTCCGATTTCAGACCACAACCCAGACCAATTAAATGAATCTCTCTGGGGCCGTGTCTCAGGTATCAGTATCTTTCAGAGGTCCCCAGGGAATGCCAGTGTGTGAATACTGTGCTCAAAGATATTTGAGTGAGTGAGCAGGCACCCATTTTTCTATTGAAACAAACACAAATCATGCGGTAGAATGTGGAATCTGCATTTAGAACATGAGGCTTACAAGCAATTTCAAGTCTGCAGGCTGTGCCTTCAAGCCACTCCGTTAGGAGAACTTGGGTGGAAATGTTCGAGGGGTGCTAGTTAGTGCAACTCAGATGTACCTCATCACAGTGCATGAGGGTGCGTGGTGGAGTAGCAAGTGGGCTCACTTCTCTCTCAGTTGCTGTGCTGCTGTGAGGGGCCCAAGGCTCAGCGCAGCACCAGGCACCTAACCCAGCATCCTGAATTGCAGACAGAAACCCTAAGAGAAAGGAAAGTAGCTCCTGACTATTGGCCTTGCCCACTCCATCCTCTGATGGCACAGGCTCAATTGGAGAAGAAGTTTTGGAAAACGTATTTCCAAAATCACTGGTCTGTGTACTTTTGTTAGATCTACAAATTCTGCCTTAATCCAGGACAGATTTCCCATTCTTTTCTCTGCACACAGGCTTCCTTATCCTGGTCCTCAGGGTCAGTCAAGGTCCTGAGTATCACCCAGTTTCCCTACGTGGCTGATTATTGGAACACCAGGAAATATTAAAATGCAGATCCTAGACCCCACCCTGAAGATTCAGTTTTGGGGACCTGAGATGGCACCTGGGCATCATCATTATTTTTAAGAAACTTCAGAGGGGATTCTAGTGATCATAAAAGTTTGGGAAGGCACAAGTGATGGCTCTGATTCCCACCTGCCCCCCTACTGCAGCATTGTTGCTCTCTGCCTCTGCTGCCACCACCATCTCCCACTTGACAACTACGAGAGTCTAGGCCACTCCCCAATAAGCAGCAGAGTGATTTTTTAAAAAACTATTAATCTGATGAGTGCCTCTTTGCTTAAATCCCTTCTGGGGTTCCTGGTGGCCTTTGGAATAAGATCCAAATAGGGGGCCTCCAAGGTCCCTCATGAGCTGCCTTTTGCTATATCTCCTGTTACTGTCCCCAGCTTTCAGTTCATTCCAGATATCAGCCTCCTTTCTGCCTCAGGACCCTTGCACATGCTGTTTCTTTGCTGGGAACACTCCTTCTTTCTTCTCAGGCCTTCCCTTCCCACTCTATCTGACTAACTAACATCCACTTAGGAGCGGGAACCATGCTCTAGGGTAGGGTTTCTTTACCATGACACCATGTATACTTCGGGCTAAATGATTCTTTCTTTTTTTAAATAAATCTTTATTGTTCAGATTATTACAGATGTTCCTCGCCCCCTCCCCCCCACCACCACCACCACCATAGCAAGAACCTACAACCAAGGAGGGCTGGTGCCTGTGCAGGTGGAAGCAGTGACCCACAGGAGGAAGACAGTCCTCAGGGTGCCTTCCTGCCCCATAGGATGCTCTTCTCCTCGAATCCCAACCAGAGTGATAAGTTCAAGGCAGCTCTGTGGCTCTCCCTGATCCAGGATCTCTGTTGCAGTCCTGGCCCCAGCTCCCCTTCCCTTCTGCTTTCAGGGGCTCAGACAGGCCTGTCTACTCTTCCTGTACATTTCTAAAGGGGCACAGGGTGCTGTGCAAAGCTCCTGAGGCCTCAAACAGACAAGGAAACATTCTCTTTGAGGCCCCCACCTCCCCCAAGCCCCTCTGGGCTTGTGTGGCAGGGATGCTACATGAAGGCTAAGTGTTGCGCTGGAGAGTGGGCGAGTTCCTAATGACCCTCTCCTTGCTCCCCCACTAGTGAGGCCAGAGAACTACAGAAAGCATGTAGAGAGCGCAGCTGTGGGGCTCCTGGGAGTGAGGAGAACCCCTTCCTCACAGTGTGTTAAGGTCTCGAGGGCTGTGTAGTGACGGCTTCCTGACCACCTTGTTTCAAGTCACACCCCTTAATCCCGCCCACCCACCTGTCCACTTCTCAGCTTTGGTTTTCTCAGTGGCACTTGCCCACGTCTCAGACACTGTCCAGTTTGTATCGGTCCCTTTACTGGCTGCAATATGAGCTTCATGCGGGCAGAGAATTGACCTGCTATGTTCACTGTTAGATCTCCAGCCCCTGGAACGGTGCCTTCCAACAGTAGCAGCTCAGTAGATACTTTTTGGATGAATGAAAGAAGAACAGTTTCTGGCAGAACCTGTGACTTTACGGTGTGACTTTACAGTGATGTAGCATATACTACAGTTGTCAGCCTGCAAACCAGGGAGAAGGGTTCTTGGTGCCGTGGAGTCGGGTGTTGAGGGAAGGAGATTTGAGTCACTCTGCTGCCATTGACGAGCTGGGTGGCCCCCAGCCTGTCCCTTTATCTTTCTGGGCTCAGGGCTCTCACCTGACGGTTGGGATAGAATATCTACCACACAGAGCAGCTATGAAGCAAGTGTACACGTGAATGCGAAAGCTCTTCTAGTCCTTATTTTTGGTGCCCAGTCAGGGCCTGGCGCACAGTAGGGCTCCAGGAACACTGGGTGGTGTTCCTCATTTTGCCTCCAGGTCAGTGGTGCTGAGCAGGACAAATCAGGGCTCCACAGACCAAGGGTAGGCATTGAACTCAGAACCAAGTGCCTTTATTGTGGATCCAGTAAATTAAGTTTCTCGTCAAGAACTTGAAGCGACACAGCAGCTCGCCTCCTTTGTCCCCTAGCAATTTGCATTCCGTGGTCTGTTATAACTTTCTAAACATCTATTTGTCTTCATTGTCAGCCCTGTGTTCTCTCTGAAGTGTGAAGTGCTTCCACTCAATTTTTTCCCCCCTCAAATTTTTATTTTCTGTCTTTTTAGTCTTTGGGGAACGGAGTGGCTCTTTCAGGAAATCACATTTTCCTGCCCCAGATTCCTGCCACTCTCACTCGTCATTGTGTTTTGAGTGTGTGTTTTCAGGGCAAGAACAGAAAGGCCTGTCAGGGATCCAAATCGTGGGGTCTGCTTTCCCAGGGTATGCACACGTTCCCCAAGCTGGCCTTCTCCATGGAAGGACCTGGAGCCTGCAGCTAAGATGTCCAAATCCTGGGGGTGGGGTACAATGATGCCCAGGCAGTGAGAGTACCTCAGAGCCCCAAATCTCCCTGACTTCCCCACCCCACAGAAGGACAAATCAGGAAAAACAAGACCCTGTTTTGAAACCCTACCTGATGAGCCTCCTGGATGTGACTGTGGAATTGCTGCCACCTGGTGGCAGTATACTCTGATTCCAAGCAAGGACCCAAGGAAAAATGGGCCTCTTGGCTATTGGACTTTCAAATTAAAATATACAAAATTGGCATTGACTTAGAGACATTGGATATGTTTTTGAAAATATTACAAGCCCCACCGACATAGGGACCGTCCCCTGGAACTTAAACACCCCCCCCCCCCAGGGTTTCCTTTCAGCATATTTGATTCTGGGTTAGGGTCATTGCTCCACTCAGTACCAGGCACTGGGGGTGCAGCACCCCATCACATATGGTTCTCGTCTTCAAGGAGATGACAGGCTCTTGGGAGAGACATATGTAAGTCAGTGGTAACGGTGGTGAAGGGTGGTGTTAGGGTTGAAGTTCATCTGACACAGGTGTACTCCTTTCAGTCATTGAGTAAACTCCTCATGAGTTAGAGATGCTTTACGAACGTCCTGTGCTTCTTTTCTTTTCTTGATTGCTTGAAATTTCTTGAGTTGCCTGTCAATGAAATCAGAATTCCTTTACACACCACGGAGATTATGTGCATCACTGGGGCACCTCATTAAATTCTTTCAGCCACAGGTTTGCGCAAGGTGAAGTTCTATGATTTTCATTCTCAGCGGTTTCAGCAGCACCTTCTTAATCTGCAGCCTCAGTGGTTGAAGAGCTGCTTGAATAGAGCTGTGACACTGGTTATCATTTCTTGATGACTGGCTCTATGTCAGGTCCTGTGCTTGATCAGCTCATCGTTTAATTTATCTGATTTACTCAATCAGCAAGTAATCTTCAGCTGAAAATTACTATGTTCTAGACCCAGCAAAGTGCCATATAGTTATTCCCATGACCAATAAGATAAGTCCATAAGGTCCTATCTCCTTGATGCTGAGAATTTTAAAATCTATGTCCTAAAGGTCTTATAGGTAAGGGGCCTGAAGTTTCAAGAGGTTA